GACTAACAGGTATCTTAAAGTAACTAGATAATGTTCAGGCAGTGAAGGAAAAGAAGCCTATTGAATTGCTGAACACAATTCAATAAGATTGTGAAAATGGCAGAGTTGATTGTTAAATACATCGCTAAGCACGGCTCAGTAGGAATATTTGATGTGATAGAGAAGACAGATGACCCCTACGAGTGGGCTGTCTCAATTCAAAAATTGTCCCAAAATGCCTAAAAACAAAGAGCAAAAAGTTGCTAGTGCACTTCAAGCTCTTTTTGCCTCATACAAGGTAACTAAGAAAAGATTAGAAGAAATTAAAACTGAAAACAAGTTGCTAAATTGTCAAGCTAAATTTTATGTCATGTCATTGAGAAATTTCGAGGCTGAAGAGATAATTTTGAAGGAACAGATAGTGAAATTGAGAAAAGAAATGTCAAAGTCTGAAACAGAGATGGAAACATTTAGATGTTTGTATGAAGGGACAGCTAGACAGTTGGTAAATGTTCAATCCAATTCTGAATATGAGGAGAAGAACTGCAAGGAAGCCATTAGTCGACATAATTCCTCAGATGATTCTGTGAGATTCCCAATAGCACCAGTGCGAACAAGACAGACTGGAAATTAGGGCTGAACGATTTTGTAAAATAATCTAATTGCAAATATTTTTACCAATATTGCGATTGCGATTTAATATGCAATTATTTTTTAAAGCTCTTTATGAGCTATAAATCATTGTATAGTATGACCAACACACTATTAGATAGATTAAACATAAAAATCATGACATGACACATGTCATGAATATGAAGGAGGTTTTATGCATGAATGTTTAAGTGTCATTCGCTTAGTTATGTCATTTGTAATGCAAATATGACATTATTTGACCTAACCCTAACCTAACCCTACCCCTACCCTTACCCCTAACCATAGCCCATAACAAAGACATCTCAAACAATGTAATCTTTGCATTAAAATTACATAACTGAGCGAATGACACTTAATGACAGTTGTCATAAACATGCATTAAAAATGCATGTGTCATGTCATGATTATGAAGGTGTCATGTCAGTCTTATGCACACCCCTTCAAGTAAAGTGTAACCAAAAAATCTTATTTAATTAAAAAAACCTAGAGGGAAAAAACACATGCATCACTTGAAACATTGAAAATAGCAGTTATTATTATTCTCTCGCTGTTATTTATCTATTTTTTGTGGGTTTCATGCTGTCCGCAAAGGCATAGGACACACACAGGCTTTCCTCCTCACCAACGACATTAAACACCGTGTCTACACCGGACGCGAGCGGCAAAATACAGTAGAACCGTTATAATCAGTGACGCTGTGTACACTGGATGCGACGCGACAAAACCTGACATTAAACTGATGCCATGTTCTATTTATGACGTACTGACACAAAGTTAATGTGATTTGCAACGGTCGCTTTGTCGCGTCCAGTGTAGAGCTGTTGCGGCGCGACGCGACAACTGTAGCGTCTGGTATAGACACGGTGAGTGAATCCGAGAGCAAGATATGCCTTGTCATATTTTCTGCATTTAGCATTTGAATGACCAGCACCTGCCTGGGTCTGTGCGACTTCATCTATGGCTTTTCTCTTCGCTTTCACAAACCCATCCATCTCCCATTCTAATTACGTCCTTTGGCTGTTTACTGTTTTATTCATTTTCTTTTTCTGCTGATGGCCCGCGCTCGACTTGAAGCAGCGCTGCTTAGACCGATGGGTGTGTCATCAAAGTACTGTGAGAGCTATAAGAGAGTGCGGACGTCTCCATATACTTTCTCTCGCTGTACTTTGATGTCAAAGGCTACACTGATCGATCTTCAAGTGGAACACACCTCTTTACTCTGGCGTGTCACGTGACCGAGTGTAATCACAGTCTCTGCGATTGAAAAATTGTGTTTTTTCATATCGCGATATTATTGCAAATGCAATTAATCATTCAGCCCTACTGGAAATGAGAGGGTTCTTGATCAAAGAAATGAAAATGGCCAAGCTGTTAGACAACTGTCTTTTATGGACTTTCAAAGTCTT